AAGGAAGATAAGCGACGACCTCGCCGATCGCTTGGATTACAGAATAGGTGAAGACGGTGGCGAATTCGTCTGATTTGCAGCGGTCGGGTGAGACGTTCAACGGCCAGAGTCTTCGTCGTTCGCAACCGATGTCAAAGCCAGCGGCGGTGAGAGTGACTCGTAGTGTAACTTAAGGCGAAACAAGCCCGGTCACGCAGAATATTACGCCGTCGAGATCAGCTCGGCTCTGCGAATTGCAAATAATTGATTAACCGACAAACCTCTCAGATACGTAATTCGACGAAATCAAACTCGACGATACTGAGCACCGCTCAGCTTCGCGGTAACGGGTAACAAACAAAAACAGGGTGGCGATGGCGCGTTGTGAGAAGAACGCGAGACCGCACGCGCCTCAATAACTGACGGGCTCAAGAAGGCAGAAACTCCCTCGCATCGGCAGCCCTCCGATGTATTAAACGAGCGGCCACACCGCCAATGGTTACAAATTCCGATAGCCGAGCCAATTGCGCACCGCGTAGGAGAACTTTGAACTCTGCCAAACGGCGAAGTATACCCGTCAAAATCGTCCTGCGGTCACGCGAACGATGCAACACACGCCGATCCAAAAAATAAGCAACTCGTAAACAAAGGGGCAAAGTTCGGCACGCGCACATCCAACCGTAACACGAAACGCTAATGAGAAAATAGCACGGCAACCGTAGGTAAAAATCGCATAGCCTGCAACAAATTTGTGCCTAAACCCTTCCTTGGCTTCTTATTTAACTGGTCTATTTAGGTTTCACTTCCTACAACATTTGCTACAGAAACTGTCTCCGCTATTTTACACTCGTGACCCGCCAATTTCGCTTTCATTACAGCAAATAGACACAGGCAATTCCTGTAAATCTTTATAGCATAATTGATTACTTTATTTTATTGCATATATTTAACGACGCGCGATCGACTAGGAAAGGAAAAAAATTTAGAATCTTTTTGATGCAGATTACAGAGACATTTTCAGATTTTTCCGATATGAACTATGAAGCAAAAATAATTCAATACTTTTCATTATGCTGCTGGATTCGAAAATGCTAGGAGACCGAAGGGCATTCATTAACGGGCGACTCTGTCATTATTAAGTTGGCAATTGCGGATCGCAGTAGAAAACAATTTATGCAAGAACAGATGGAGTATCCTACATATAACAGACCACGTGAGTGTCCTCTCGACTGCTTGAATGGCATACCAACAAAATTCATACCAATAAATCGTACCACAAAGGGAATCGGATAAAGGTTTGTTTTGCGCTGCAAAGAAACTAAGATCAAATCCCATTCGCGTCGAAAAATTTCTCTTACTAACTGCAAATTACCCTTGAGCTAAGAATTTATTTCACTTCGCTGTGAAGGAATAACGTGAAAAATTTTTAGTAATTGGCTGAGCTGCGAACGATAGGGAAGCAGTGTTCGCTGG